ACTGCCCAGAAATCATCTGAAGGACCCCAGTGGGAGCTGTGAGGCCTGTCCATCTTGTGTGAAATCCTACTTCCACCTTCAGTCCCAGACAGCAGCTGGGCAGGGGAAGAAGAAGGCATCAATTCAACAGGGAAAGTAAACTGCAAAAGCAGGCAAATTAAGAACTCCTCAGTGTTTGAGAAGCACTGGTACCATGAAATAAAAATGCCTTCTCAAAACCAGACTTCAAAGGCCAAACAAAACAGAATTATTAAGTATAATTATCATGAAAGTTTTTTTAAATTTGCAACCTTTAGACAGGAATGAAAAATTACAAAAAGAGTCAGTTAGAGCCCTTGCATGAAAAGCTGTTGAAATAAAAAATATAATAAAGCAAAACAGACCCAACATAACTGGAATTCTCCCATAATATAACACAAAGAAATAAACAGGAAATATAAAAGATGAGAGAATCAGAAGAGCGATCCAGAAGCTTTAACATCAGTCTATTAAAAGTCCTGAAAGGAGAAAATAAAGAAAATGGAGGGATGGTTATAACTGAAAAGTGGAGACTTTCCTAGAACTAAAGAAAATCTTAAGTTCCTCAAGTAGTTTAGTATGGCTGGTATATAAGACACAGGGGATTGTGTCCTATAAGTTTCTAGAAGTAGTCATAGGCTAGATCATGATAGGTCTTGCATTTTTTGTAAGGATGTTACAAGAGAAAGTTATTGAAATGAGATAAAACACTGGACTGGAATAAGGGTATCAGTGCCCATGATTTACATAAAAAATATAATCCCTGGCTCTATCCAATAAAAGGGCCTAGAAGCAAACATGCCTAAAGGAATGAGCACCCTAGAGCCCGGATCTTGGTTTCGAAGTATCACCACCCATTAAAAGAAACCAAAGTTCCCTGAAGAAATGGCTGATTCCAGGGCTGGAACAAACAAAGTTTAAGATGAGACTGGACCATCTTATGCTGGAAAATATGAAAGGGCTTAAAAACTGACTGAAGCTGGCTTGAAAAGGAACTAGGCAGATATAGAGTACTATGAGCATCAGAAAGAATAAGCAGAGAAATAGATCATAAAATGTTGAATTTAAAACACCAATCCATGGATCACAATGATTCTAAAGGAAAGATGTGAGAGCAGAGAGAAGAGAAAGCTCCATTTACAGAATACCAATAGGTATAGAAGGAATGGTAGAAAAATCATTAGTTTGCAAGCACATTTATCACAAATGAAGAAATTATGCCAAATAATAGGATCGGATTCTTTAAAAATGTCATTAAAGATACTTCCCTACCCCCCAAACAAACACTGGGGAATTCTTCTGGATTAAAAGACACTAAAAGCCAGGTGAGGTGGTCCACGCCTGCAGGCCCAGATACTTGGGAAGCTGAGGCAAGAGGATCACTTGAGACCGGGGGTTTAAGACCAGCCTAGGCAGCAAAGTGAAACCTCTATCTCTAAAAAAAGAAAGGAAAAAAGAGACTAGAGAGACATGACAACTAAATGCAGTATAGTAATCCTTAATTGCATCCTAGATTGGTTACCAATAAAAGCTATAAAGCACATTACTGAAACAATTGGGAAAATATAAGTATGGATTGTGTATTTAAATAATAATATAATAGATAACAGTATGTTAAAATTTCCTGAGTGATTATTGTATCATGGTTAATAGAAGGATGGTCTTGTTCTTAGATGATACATGCTGAAATAATTAGGAGTGAAGAAATTCATATTATTTACACTTTACTCTTAGATGGCTTAGCAAAAAAAAAAAAGTGTGTGTGTGTGTGTTTATAAATTCTAGAGTTCAGCGCCCTATTCTTGTCAATTTTCTGCATTTTGAAATTTTGCTAAATAAAAGTTAGGGAATAAGAAGAAAGTTCCCCAATCGTCCAAAGCATTGATTGGTATGATCTGGCTTGTATTCCAGGATGACTATTCTGAGAGAATTTATTTCAGAAAGAGGCAAACCAGGAATAGGATACCAGAGGTCAATTTACCATGAAGCTGACAAAGTTTAAACTTCAAGGCCCTTATCCTGTGGGTTCTTTTTAAACCCGGGAAGAACCTGAGTAATATAATCTTTCACAGTCATGTGCTTTTGTAAGATTTGCAAAATACAACATTCAGTCAAGACCACTGTCTCTTTACACTCAACTCACTTCATCTTGTACCAGGCAGCTTTGGAGTAACCATGGGCATTTGGGGCATGCTGCTAAGAGGAATTAGGCTTAGGTTTAGTGAGCTATCATTTGTGGTTTGTAGTCACTTCCATGTACAGTTAAGGGTTTGATAACTGCCCTAGCACAGCAATGACTTTCAGAAATGCTTCTGCCACCCACAGTGCACACTCACTGGCATCACAATACAAGGATGCAAGTTGAAATACGAATGCAATACACTCTGGTGCCCAGGTCCAGACAGATGTAAAAAGTGAAGAAACATGCTGGAAGAAAAACTGATTATCCTTCTCTTCTCTCCAGAGAAAATACCACAAAGTGATTATGATATGATGAAGTGATCAAATACTATGTAGCCCCAAAAATGTAAGAAAAATTAAAGAAGTGTCAGGATGAAAAAAGTATGTGGGATTTGACAGCTTTTTGAGTTGTAATTTGTTATGCTTTCATTTCTCATTCTAAACCAATATTTACTTTTGCACATATAAGTATCTGTCATTTTATGGGCTTTTATTTCACAAAGAACCTCCAAAGTTGTATAAGTTTGAAGCCCTACAAAATTTGTAATTACCCCTTTAGGAGACCAAAGAGAAAACCATCAAGACACAATTAAATGACCAAAGGAAATAAAGAGAAAGCAATGAGTTTGAGATGTATTTAAAATGTAAAATCAAAAGAGTTTCTTAATACACTGGATATGGGGAGTGGGAAACTGGGTGGAGGATGATTCCAGTTTAGGTGAATGAATAGGTTCAGCATCCTTCACCAAGACTAGGAATTCAGTTGAAGGTAAAGCATATCCATGGAGATCTGGGTCAGCAGAGACAGTAGAGTCAGAGAAATAGGCTTGACAGTCATCAGCATGCATACAGGGGAAGCCAGAGCAAGTGATGAGCACTTCATGGTTTGGGTGAGGATAAGAAGAGGTAAAGTCAAAGGATGGAACCCTGGGAAACAACTCCATGGAGTGTTGGTGGCAGTGTGTGTGTGGGGTGGGGGACAGTGAGGGGATGGTAAAGAAGACAGAGAATTAGAAGAACCAGGAAAGAAAGAGAAGCTGTGTTAAGTGGAGGGAGAGGTGTGCTTCAACAATTTTAAAAAAAGATAACTGTTATTAAAGTTATTACATTTGACAGTGAGGATATAACCAGTGTCCATTTTGTGTTGCTATAAATGAATACCATAGACTGAGCAATATATAAAGAAATTTATTTTTCATGGCTTTAGAGGCTGGGAAGTCCAATATCAAGGTGCCAGCATCTGGCGAGGGTCTTCTTGCTGTGTCATCCCATGGTGGAAGGCAGAAGGGCAAGACAACACAAAATAGAGAGGGTGGAAGGAGACCAAACTCATCATTTTATCAGTAACCTACTCCCTTGATAACCCACTCCAGAGAAAACAGCATTAATCTAGTCATGAGCCCTCATGAGCCCTCATAACCTAGTATCTTCTAAAGGTCCCACCTCTTAACACTGTTGCATTGGGATTAAGTTTCCAACACATGAGCCCTGGAGGACACACTTAAACCATGGCAACTGGTGACCCTGATCGAGAACAAACTTGGAATAATTGTGAAAGTCAAAACCATACTGCAGCAGACTGAGAAATGAATAGGAAATGGACTCAGGAAGTGTGTGCATTACTCTTTCAAGAATCATGTCCAGAAATGAAAAGAAAGACAGGGAAGTGAAGGGAATGTGGGGTCACGGATAGGGCGATCTTGCTTTATTTGTACCTACTAATGGTAAACACATACTTATCCTATGGCCCAACAATCCTACTTCTAGGTAACAACCTAGACATCATCAAAAGAAGAGTGAATAAATAAACTACGGCATAGTCACACAATGGGATAATATTCAGCAATAAAAAGAACAAACCACAGATAAGCACAAGGATGAGTCTCAAAAATATGATGCTGACAGAAGTTAGTCAGACATAAGACACTATATGCTGTATAATTCCATTTGTATAAAGATCAAAAGTAGGAAAAACTAATCTATGCTGTTAGCAGTTAGAATAGTAGTTACCTCTGAGGAGGGGTGTTATTAGCTGGGAAGAGGCATGGGGGAGACTTCCGGATTACTGTGAATGTTCTATACCTTGATGGGTGTGGGTTGCATGGATATAGAGCTATACTCTGGGCGTGAACATTGTATGTCCTTTACTTCACAATACCTCAATTAAAAATTTTAAAAAAATAATAAATAAAATAAAATGTAAAGACCTTTACTAAGGAAATACCACTAAGAAGATCTGTAAAATGCCACCAAATCAAAGTGCATCCTGAGTTGGCCCAAGGATATCTGACAATCATGTGAATAGCAGCAACAGCCGGAATTTCCTGAACTGAATGAATCCAGCAGCCGTGGAGTAAACAATCCTTCCTCTTAGGCACTCACTCATTATTGTCAGCTCACTCACTATTACCGACCTAAAAATCCAGCTCCCAAGCCCACATCTTTATGTGGATAACCTGTCCTTCCCCATTGACCAGACCTTAGATCATCAAAATTAGTTTTCCAGGGCTCAGCATCAGCCTAATATCTCTCCTATGTCAAAACTGACTTCCTTCACTGCTGTAGGAGAGTCCTTTAGAAGACAGATTTGTACCCTTCAAATCACAGCAGAAATGCATGATCCTCTTTTTTGTTATCTTCTTAGCCTATCAAATGATGGAGAAACTGCTGGCATTTGAACCCAAGGCATTTTGATCTTCAGAGAAAAAAAAAAAACTGTATAATCACGAATAAACCTAGCTTTATTTAACATTAATATGGTATTTGCATGCTCACTATAAAAAAGAAAATTAAATACTTACCATTTTGTCTAGTACCAACAGCAGCTATTATTACTGGAACTGAATTTAATGCTCTTTTTATCACTGGAATATAATTGTCCTTTACTTCATGGAATGAAAACTTGTCATTTACATTGTATTTGATCACAATGATGTCGGCGCTCCCAATTAGGTTCCGAGAGGTGTACCAATCACTGTCAAAAATGTCCTAAACCAAAATGCAAAAGCCATCTTTAGTCAACTTATCATCCAATCAATCATAAAATAAATGATAACATGTCAGCTTAAACTTTTTGCTACATTTTAATTTTATGGAATTCCCACAAAGAAATTCATTTTTAAATAAGTAACTACATATTTATAGAGCTTCATGCTTATGGTCTTCCAACTCTATTTTTTAAAAACGTTACTTATTCTTTTAGCCTGGACAATTATGTAATGGTTAAACAGGAGATCTAGAAAATTTCTGTGAGGCTGAAAAACAACCTCTTTCAATATTTGAATACATTAAAAATAAGCACTTTGTTATACAATTATGCTATATGTTTTTATCACCTAATAATTTCAAAAATGTAATGTATAGCATGAGTTGGAAGACCATAAGCATGAAGCTGAATTAAGAAGCTTCAAAGGATTTTCTCTGACCCAGTTAGACACAGCAGGACTTTTCAGTGTTTGGAATTGCAATACACTGTGAATTCTAAGGAGTTCCATAGACTTTATTCATTATTTTCAAAAATTCATATATGCTGTTCAACTTCATCCAGCCTTGAGACGGTACTATACATGTACAGTGTGCATGTGGTAGGGGAGAAACACTTTTATTAAAAAAATACTGTGTATCACAAGGTGTTAACATGGCAAGAAACACATTTACAATTCATGTCTTCACTTACGTACATTAAAAATTCAGGATAAACCTTTCAAGTTCTGAGATCTTTACTTTTGTACTATGGTTAATACTTCTATTTAAATTGGGGCTGTAAGCAATTTATTATAGATGCTATTTCTCAAAAATATAGTACTTTGATGTTTTAACTATAATTTTTCAAAGTTTTTATGTGAATGGTGGTGTAAGGAAAATATCTGCAGGCATCTTGATTCCTTTGCCAAATATGCACAAGTAGCTTTCTTCTCATATTCTAGTTAACTATTAATCATGTGTTTTTTCATGGGCTCTTGGTATGTAATCTAGAATGTAATGAAGCTAGATTAAGGAAATACACAGCTAGACGTGACTAACAAGTCCAAAGGGTATGGGGCTATAAAAGTTTGCACTTCGAAATATGAGTCCAAAACAGGGTTAATAGTGTCTCAATCAACTGATCCAGATCTATGTGACAGAGCTTTTATCCCATAGTGGAAAATTCTGGAGGAGTGTTGCACAGTAATGCCCTTTTGCAGAGACAGCTTCTCACCAGTGCCTCCTCTAATACCCCATACCCTCCCAACCACCCACCTCCCACAAGAACACTCAGAGTAACAAGACTGCAGAATCTGTAGACATGAATACCCGGTCTAAAGCGGGAAAGATAAAGCATTTTTAAAGGAAGATTAAAAGGACCACTCCCCTCAAAAGGCAAAGTATGGACTATAAACACCAAAGGCAAAGGCTTGAACTTGGTACAGAGTATAATGGGGTGGGGAGAGGGAGATTAAGTGGGACACAGTGCAAGAAAGCGGGAAAGTTTCCCAGCAGAGCTCTCTCGCTTCCAAATCCCAAACCACAAAACCTATTCAGTTCCAACTGTATCTGTTACAGCGCTCAAGTTCAAAGTATACAAGTATAACACAGTACATAAGTATAACAAAGAAAGCGGACAGAGTCAGACAAATGAGATGAAAAAAAAAAGTGGGATCAAGCAGTCATTTAACTCTGAAACAATAAATCAAAAGTAGTTGCTTTCCGTAGGCCAACTAGCTCAAAATTCCAAACTTGCTGGAGAGTTATACAGGAAGAGGGGGACCTTTAAAGAAAAAATGTCAGGAAAAAAATGGGCTCGGGCATCATTCACTCTCTGGGATTGAGGATGTAAAGCTTATCAGTATTGTATTTGTAATACAAATCAGAGCTTTACACCCTGCAAAAGAAAACTGTGAATCTACTACCTCACTACTTTTTTATGGAATGTTTTTGATTAATAGAAAAAGATCTAGAAAGGTGAAATGAAATCACCCAAAAAAGGGATGAGTAAGAGAGAAAGACATACTAAATAATAAGATACATCTAATGACTCTGAAGCACAACTTATTTTAAAAGTGTCAAGTGTATAAGGCAGGGATCCAGGGAGAAGCTGAGGATCTGCAGACAAGAACTAGGGAAGAAAAACACAACTATCTCATTCCAGCACCGAAGGCACCACTGTCTTCTCAAACTATGTCAAAGAGAAAATACTCCACTGATTTCCAGAACTATGAAGGAAATCAAATTCTCCCACCTCTTGTAAATCAGTTCCAGGATTTCCTCCAGGGGGTTATGCAACATAAAGCTTGAAGCCACATTTGGAGAATTGAACTCATCTTTAAAAGAAAAAAATCTGGGCCGGATTCGGTGACTCAGCCTGTAATCCCGCGCCTTTGGGAGGCTGAGGTGAGTAGATTGCCTAAGCCCGAGGGTTCGAGACCTGCCTGGGCAGTGAGACCTCATCTCTACAATAAATCAAAAAATCAGCCGGGCGTGGTAGCGCACTGAGGCGGAAGGATGGCTGGAGCCCAGCAGGCCTAGGCTGTGGTGGCCGGGAGCGGCCACTGCACTCCAGTCTGGGCGACAGAGTGAGACTTCAACTCAAAAAAAAAAAGAAAAAGGAAAAGAAAAAAATCTGAATTTCTATAGGGAAACAATTTTTTTCTACTTCATTATGGGGCTGCGAACGTAGCACGTATTAAATACTAACATCACTGCCCCAATGTATTGTATTTGTATGAATCTTGAATGACATGTGGGGAGACTTTACTTTTGCTTGGCATACATGATACATGACCCTACTGAAGTAATAACACACACATTATTACTATAGTAGCTACCACTTATGGAGCACCTACTATGTGCCAGCCTACACTTAGAGCTTGACACATTCTAGTATCTCATTTTCTCCTCTGCACACCCCAGGAGGAAGGGATTATATGACTATTATATTTATTTATTTATTTATTTATTTATTTTTTTGAGTTGGAGTCTCACTCTGTCACCCAGACTGGAGTGCAATGGCCACTCCCGGTCACTGCAGCCTCGACCCGCTGGGCTTCGGCGATCCTTCCGCCTCAGCCTTCCAAGTAGCTGGAACTACAGGCACGCGCTACCATGCCAGGTTAATTTTTGATTTATTGTAGAGATGAGGTCTCACCAAGTTGCCCAGGCGGGTCTCGAACCCGTGGGCTCAGGCAATCCACTCACCTTGGCCTCCCAAAGTGCTGGGATTACAGACTAAGCCACCGAGCCCTGCCTGGCTATTTTATGATAAGGAAAATGAGGCTGAGAGAAGGTAAGTGACTCACCAAGGACATACAGGCATTAAGTGGCAGTGTGGAGATCTGAAGTCAAATCCTTCTGATATCAAACCTGTGCTCTATCTGCTCTGCTATATTTAATATTCTTATTGAATACATATGTCAGATAACAGCTCATTAATACACAATCAACTTTCATGTCTCTTTACTTACCACCAAGAGAAGAAATGCAACTTATAAAGAGTAACTCTACAAATGTCATCTATTATGTCTGAAGATCATTATAACCTAGAAAGTTGGACCTGGTTACAAACTTGATGCCTTAAATAGGGCCAGAGTGTAACCAACCAAAAAGTGACTGGTGTAATAATTATAACAGTCAGTATATGGCAACAATTCAGACTACGAATGCTTGTTTTATCATTTGGAAAATTTCATTTTACTAGACAAAGTAATTGGGATCACAAGCATTGCTTCTTGTGAAATTAACAACATAAACAGGAAAAGCAATTCTAACATTCTAATGCAGCTTATTTTATTTTCCCTACATTTATTTACTCTACCCACTAAACAATATTACTATTGTTAAATTAATACTATTGGCCAGGCGTGTTGACTCATGTTTGCAATCCCAGCACTTTGGGAGGCCAAGGCGGGAGGATCACTTGAGTCCAGGAGTTCGAGACCAGCCTAGGCAACACAGCGAGACCTTGTCTCTACAAAAAAAATAAACAAATACACAAAAAATTAGCTGGGCCAGGTGTGCTGGCGCAAGCCTGTGGTCCTACATACTCCGGAGGCTGAGGCAAAAGGATCCGTTGAGACCCAGGAGGTTGAAACTGCAGCGAGGCGTCATCGCGCTACTGCACTCTAGCCTGGGTAATAGAGACACTGACTTAAAAAAGAAAAAGAAATTTTTCTAAGTACATGCTATACATTTTTTAGCCAGCTGTATTAGTTTTCTACAGCCCTAATTCATTTTTTAAAAACTGCTGTAAAATCTCACATAGTGATAATTTGTATTTTCTTTTTCAGACACTAAACTTTCTTCTGTTATAAAATGCAATCTTTAGCTGAAATATATATTTGTGTGTGTGTGTGTGTATATATATATACACATATATATACATATCTCCAATATCAGTAAAGAATCAGAAATTTTCAAATATGAATAAAGCAAGCCTATCAAAATATGTTATTGTATACTGAAAATACATATATGTGCAGGGAGTAGATTCCTTTCTCCTTTTATCAAACACCCAAGAATCAGAGTAGAACTTATCCCTTCCGCCACAATTTCATTCAGTTATCACAAATTTTAAATTTTTAAAAATTTTCTGAGTAACAGTAGTAATATTACTTCTGCTTCATGAGCCTCTAAAACAAATGGCTAATAGCAAGAGCATTTGCATTATTGAAATTAAAACCACTAACTAAAGTTTTTCAGAGGTTAATGACCAGTGCTATAAATGAGTCATTTAAAATTCTCAGTCCCTGTCTTTTCTACTCTTTTCCAAGGTCCTATTTCTGAACTGTCCCAGAGACAAGTATTTTTGCCCGCGTTGAGCTTTCAGAGGGCTGTATTTTTAGAACACCAATATGACACTGTCACCCACCGGGTAGGCAAGAAAGAACACTGCTCTTTGCCGGTGAAACTCAGTGACCCCATCCCTTGCGGGTGGCACATTCAACTGTCAGCTGTCTACCGAGGGACAACCCACAGACGTGAAGTGTCGAATAGGTGCTCCACAACCCCATGGGGGCTTCGGACCTCCCAAGAGTGTGCTATGACCGGGCTGCCCCTGCCCAAGGGAACAAAGGTCCAAAGATTTTCTCCCAAAGGGTTTTGAACCGGGTAACGCGGATACGCCACACTCACGGAAGTGGGCAGAAAGGGGAGGAGGGAAAAAATGAAAGAAAAGCTCCTTCAGCCTGGACACGGAGCAGCTGCAGTCCCTTACCCAGACGGGACAGTCGTGGACCACCAGCTTGACGTTCCCAAACGCGCTGGCCTGGTACTCGGTGAACACGGGGCGCGCGACCGCGCTGGTGGCGTTCAGCAACAAGCTGCTCTCGTCCCCCGAGACCAGAGGGCTCCTCCCCAGGTACGTGCGGATGAGCCCCGACGGCCGATTGTCCTGGTGGAACGCGTCCCCCTCGTTCCCCAGCGCCACGATGTGGATGGACCTGCACGGACAGACAGCGGGCGAGGGGGGCGGGGAGCCGGGTCAGCGCCGACCCCTCCCGCGGGAGCAGGAAGCGCGGGCGCGGCGCGGCGGGGACCCGCTCGGGCCCCTCCGCCGGGGCGCACGGCACGCGTCGGGCACAGACAATGGCAGGACGGCGACGCGTACGTACATGATCTCAAATCGAAGGGCAGGGCGGCGACGGAGAAAAAAGCAGCTGCTCACGGCCTCTTGGGGTCCCCGGGCGGCGTGTTGACCCGCAAGCCGCTCATCCCCGGCCGCGTCCCCCTCGCGCGCCTCCACCGCCGCGCGGCGGACGCAGGGCGGAGACGCGGGGGCCGGCGAGCGAGCCGGGGGGCGGGGGGCGAGCCGGGGGGCGGGGGGTGCGAGCCGGGGGCCGGGGACCGCGAGCCGGGGCCCGAGGGTGACAGCCGGGCCGGGGGCGCGCTGCCACCAGTCAGGAAGCGCCCGGGACCATCGCCGCGCGCGGGGCCGCCGTGCACCCCGAGTGAACTCAGCTGACCGCAGTCCCCGCTCCGCCGCGCCTCCTTGGCAGGGCAGCTGTCGCCTCCTGCTGCTGCCGCCGCCGCCGCTCCTCCTCCCGGCCGAGGTGGGGTAGGAAAAAGCCGGGCCCCCGCCCCCTCGGCCGGCGGGCGTCCGGGTGCAGCACGTGCCGGCGCCGGGGGTCGGGCGCACGCGGGGGACGTGCTCCCCGCCGAGGTCCCCGAGCCCGGGCGGCCGC